CACCCACCCACCCTGACGAGGTGCCCGCGATGCGACTCGCTCCGCTCGTCACATCGCGGACACCTCGTGCGTCATGAAACGCTCGCTTCGCTCGCAATGTGGTAGAGCTAATGCTTGTTGCAGGACTCGACATCGGCGTAGAGCCGAGTATGATGATGCACGTGCCGTGCAGGGTTCATGTTCGTGCTGCTCCCTCAAGCTCTCTACTGAGTTGCGACTGGGACACGCCGAGTGCGGTGCAGTTCAACTAGTTATCTCGGGAGTCGGTATATGCGTAGTGCGGTCGTACCTCGGCCAAGCTCGAAATGCACTGATCGACATTCCGACGCGTCGCGTCCGAGTTGATACAGAAATAGAGCAACACTCCTCCTTTTCCTACCCCGCACCCCGCAAAACACGTCCATATGTCACTCATCGCCTTATCGCATAGACCATGCCAACTTGCGAGGAAGAGACAGAGTTGCAGATGCTACTGCTCATGCGTAGACAGCTACGAGAAGGAAGGCGTCGAGCACAGCAATCTCGGGGATGTTCCACCTTGAATGAAGCATCCCTGACAATCACTCATCCGTACGTGTTTTCTACTAGTTAAGGCATTGAGTATAACTGGCACCTCTGCAGAAACTATGCCGTCGAATATCGCTCCCACCGCTGTATCATCTTAGGATGCCACTTTGCCGCGGCCGCACTCAGCTCCGCTGATGCGCCCCGTCCCGCCGGCTCGTCGGCCTCCCCAACCCCATCACCTCGAACTTTCTGTCCGCCGGTTTGGGCGAGCCTGCGAGGCCGGAGCAAGAGTCCAGCCGCGCCGAGGCGCTCGGCACTTTCCGTAGACCGAGAGAGCGAGCCGACGCGTTGAGGGCGGCGCGCCGTTTTCGTCTACTCACCTCCATCTCGCCTCTAGCCGCTCGCGCCGTTTTCTGTCCCGCCCGCCACACCCTTTCACTTGCCTTATCTCGCTCGTAGTGGGAACCGCTCGTCACGCCGTAGGTGAGGCTGGACCGTGTCTCCAAACGATTTCCATCATTCGCATTTCCAGTCTCTATTCCGCTCCGGTGACGAGCGTACAAAGGACTCATGGGTTTCTTCTCCCCGACTCAGCTGCACGCAATGCCAGCAAGGATCTTGAGCCGAGCTCGATCCCCAGAACTGAACCAGTGTCCTGTTGCCCTCAATACAGATATCAGAGGTCACGAGACTCCACTTGCCTTTCCAGAGACTAGTGGCAACGTTACTGCCCTGCACTGGCTGGTGATGTATCTTGTCGGTATCTGCGGGGTCTGTCGAACCGCGAAGCGACACGGCTATCGACACCCGCGCCCTTCAAAGGGGCTTTAGCCCTCTCGCGTGTGCAGTCAAGATCGCTGACCTTCATGTCCGCGGCACTGGTGACTGCCGGTGACCAGTCAATGACCATCGCATTACTGGGAGCAGGCGTGGCTGCCGTGCAGGCTCAAGCCAATAGTTTGGGTGTTATTCTGAGCTTCGGGCGGACACCTTACTCAGTGGTGGATACGTCTGTGTCCATTCTGTGTTGTTCCCCATGGATGTTTCGCCCGCCCAAGTGTCCCCTGCGAGCGGGTCTTCACTTCATGTGGTTTGTTGTAAACGAGTACATGACATGGCCCTATATGATAAACTATACACCATTGTCAAGTAAGAAAATGCACGACTTGCGAGTGGTGCGGCAGATGCCGAGCGTGTGAACTATCAGTGGCCTGAGCACGCGTTGCCCATGGAACGATTTGAGACGCGCGACGCGCCTCCACGGTCGGTAAATGCCGAGAGCGCTTCCAGCAAAGCACGCTCTATCATGGAACGATTTCAAGACGCGTGTCGCCTCTGCGGCCCGCAAACTCCGAGACCACGCGAGGCGTCCCAGCGACGAATCGCGCGTCGACCGTCACATGAATATCACGTGTACGAAATGGAACGTTTTGCCCCCCCCCAACTCGACCTTAAGCTGTGTCTCTTCGAGCCCCAGAACGTATCTCAATTTAGGAAGTACTAGTGTCATAAATCCGAGTGTGTATTGTACATGGTGATGGTAGCGAAACAGAACGATGCGTAAAGACAGGTCAGACACCAAAGACAACGTCTCCAACGTCCACTCCGACGACAGAGTCTACTTGGAGTGAAGGCCGTCGTCTTCAGCGCGCAGAGACTTCTCGCGAGGTAGTCTTCCACGTATATGGGGTACAGGGAGAGTCCGACGCTCATTCGTTGTAAAGTCGTCCTCGTCTTCAATTGTGAACTTCCTATCCCAGTAACGGTTCTCCTTGGCGGGCCACAAGTTGAACTCGTCCCAAGGAGCCGAGTATCTATGAAAGACGTGAGTAAAGTTGGAAAGCGCTACTGCATATCATGCGTACCCATAACCGCAGTTCTCGGTGTCCCAATGCCACATGAGATAAGGGGTTTTCCCTTCGTAGCCTTCAAACCCTTTCTTCAGCTCCTCGGCGATAGCCTTGATGCCTTCAAGCTTGTAACGCCGGACGCGTTCGCGTTTGAAAGCCATGTCATAGTTTGTAAAGAGGACGAAAGTGTAGAGAAGTTTGGGGTTGATACTGAGCTGAACGGTGATGGAGCCAGTGAACGAAACACTAGCAAGGAATGTCAGACGGTCACGCAAGCGATTCTGCACGCGTCCCAGATATCCCGAATTCGTTTTGCTGATGACATCGATAACTTGACCGTCTCGGCGCACCTCGCGAGACGGGGCCAGCCCTAGCTTTTCAGCACAATAGAGCATCGCCTCGTCAGTCAGAGCACAGCCGTAGTTCATCAAGGGAGACTGGATTGGACTGCTGGCCGAGGGAAAGAACCTGTCATCCATTTTTCGAATAGCCGGTCGGCGCTCTGCCAGCTCTGAGTAAATCTGCATATATGGTGTCAGTGGACTGTGGTCGCTAACCATACATTCACGTACTGCTGCTCGAGTCTTCTTGCGAAAGTCCTGAATCTTGATTCCCGCCTTCGCAGCCACCGCCTTGCTGGACTCGCTTGGCCCTTTGGTGAATTCACCCAAGAGATCGAGCGTGATGTCTATGGAGATGTCGTTCCCAAGTCGGAGTTTGGGGAGTGGTGTTTCTGAAGTCATGGCGCCACAGGAGGGTGAGGGCGCGTGAGCATTCAGGCCATCGTCTTCCGCGCGCAATGACTTCTTGCGCGGTAGTCTCCCGCGTGCGCGTGCCTCAGAAGGAGCCTGCTGCTCGTGCGTTGTGAGGTCGTCAGTATCTTCAATCATAAACTTCCTAGCCCAGTGACGATTCTCCTTAGCGGGCCACAAGTTGTACTCATCCCAAGGAGCCGAGTATCTAGGGGTGGCGTGAGTACAGTTCAATCGCGTTACTTTCGGTGATGCGCACCCATAACCGCAATTCTCGGTGTCCCAATGCCACATGAGATACGGAATCTTCCCTTCGTAGCCTTCAAATCCTTTCTTCAGCTCCTCAGCAACCGCCTTGATGCCCTCGAGCTTGTAACGCCGGACGCGTTCCCGTTTGAATGCCATGTCATAGTTGGTAAAAAGGACAAAGGTGTGGAGGAATGTTGGGTGGATACTGAGCTGAACGGTGATGGAGCCAGTCAACGGAACACTAGCAAGGAATGTCAGATGGTTGCGCAAGCGATTCTGCACGCGTCCCAGATATCCCGAATTCGTCTTGCTGATGACATCGATAACTTGACCGTCTCGGCGCACCTCACGAGACGGAGCCAGGCCTAGCTTTTCAGCACAATAGAGCATCGCCTCGCCGGTCAGGGCGCAACCGTAGTTCATCAAAGGTGACTGGACTGGACTACTAGTCGAGGGGAAGAACCAGTCATCCATTTGTCGAAGAGCGGGGCGGCGCTCTGCAAGGCTCGCGTGTATCTGTGTACGTGCTATTAGTTACTTGTGGTCGCCTTGAGCCAACTGTGAACGTACTGCTGCTCGAGTCTTCCTTCGAAAGTCCTGGATACTGATCCCCGCCCTCGCTGCCGCCTCCTTGCTAGACTCGCTTGGTCCTCTCGTAAATTCACCTAACAAATCGAGTGTAATGTCCACGGAAATATTGTTTCCGAGTTGAAGTTTCGGGAGTGATGCTTCTGGAGTCATGGCGGGCAGAGAGGGCGAGGACATGCGAGCGTTCGAGAGTCTATTCGTTTCAGCAGGCTGGATATCCGTCAATGCAGAAGTTCTGTCTGTATCGGCATCATTGTCAAGACTGATGGTGGTCGGCGACTAAAACGCGTCGGCGAGCCGACGCGTGAGAGGCAACAGAACGTGGAATCGCTACGTGTGGCGCGCGTCACCTTTTACCACCATGTCCACTGTGCCAGTAATTGCCAGGATGAAGCCTCATTCAAGTCTACTCCATGTTTGAGGGCCATACACAGGAAGAACTTGTGGGTGACGCGCGTGAGCCGGCGTACTGGGATGTAGGCAACTTTGATGCTCTCGAAAGAACCGCACAATACTTAAACTAATTGTAGATGCGATAGTGGTTTCGGGGACGTGTACTACCTGAATGTATAGGTCTGCGGCGACTCCGAAGAGCCGTACAGCGATGATGTGGCGAGAATGGGGACATCCGCGCGGCCGAACCCCGAAAGGCCGAAGCCGCTCTGCGCACAATTCGCGCTCTTCCGCGGACGACCATCTCGCCGCCGAGACTAGCTTTCTCTACCCTATCCCAACCCATCATGTCCGGGTCTGAGCAGCGCACAGTCGTCAAGCGCTCGGCATCTGAAGAAGCGAATGATGCGCCTCCTATGAAACTCAGACCAGTGCAGGTCAAGTTGAAGGGCAAGGCGTGGACAAAGCATCCTGACTATTATCTCGAAGACGGATCACTGACTTTACTCGTATGTTTACCCCTTTCCCTTTTGCTATATCTCACACCAACCCCTTGACCAGGTTGAAGACATCGCATTCCGCGTTCAGGGATCCCTTCTCATCCGACAATCTCAGCATTGGAAAGATACTCTTGGAAGCGATCCAAAAGAGAGTTATGAGCCGCAAGAGCTCGGCGGTGTCAAGAAAAACGAGATGACTGCCTTCTGCGCTGTCTTTTGGCCTGCGTGCGTACTCTCTGCTAAAGTAAGGCGCCTCAGACGCTCATCTACCTGTAGCACCGTTGGGCGCTACTTTCTGCCCTTGGCCGAGAGTTGGGCTTCCGTACTCCGGCTCGCCTCTCTCTGGGGAATCGCCGGCATGCGCTCGCTCGCCATATCAGAACTCCAAACGAAGGCAACCCCCCTACTCAAGCTGGTGCTTGCTCGTACACATGACATACCGAACTGGGTAGAGCCATCACTTGACGCTTTGGCGCGTCGCGCCGAACCTCTGTCGCTTCAGGAAGCCAACACGCTTGGAATGGAGGACGTCCTGCGTGTCTCCGCTGCTCGCGAAAGGCTGAGCAAGACGCAAGTTGTGCAGCCCGCCCCGGGCGCGACCGTACGGGCGCCAGACACTCGTACACCCACCCGTGTTGGTAGCTATAATCCCTTTGGGTCTGCCTTCGGCTCTGGGTCTGCCTTTGGATCTGGCCCTGCCTTTGGCTCTGGCTTGCAAGACAAAGCCGCACCCGCCACCCCTGCAAAGCCCGTCGCACCTCCACCGCCTGCCAAGCCGCCCTTGCCACTCATTACCTCGCCTTTCACTCCTAAGGAACTCGAAGATCTCTCTACCTATCTAACGGGCACGAAGAGTTGGGATAAGATCTTCGGCATGGTGACGACAGAGAAGTTCCCCGCCTTTTGTCACGCCGCGGCAGATTTCAGCGATCTGTTGGTGCCGCATAGCCTCTCTCACGGATCTCTGAGCGCGGCTTTGTTCAAGTACGTCGCAACTCGACCAGCATACATCCCCACGGCCGTCAAGATCGCGGCATTCATGGTGTCGCACAGCGAACACGGAGAGCCGAAGTACAGCCCTGCAGTGACAAGCACCCTTAAACTTGGTTTCGGAGGTAACCTCCAGAGCGACGTGGACGGTCTGCGTGGCCTATGGGGGACCGTGAAAGAGGCAAAGGTGAAGTATCCGGACTTCAAGCTGGCGTACAAGTCCGGATCTCGCCATCGCCCTCTCGCTGCCGCTCTTCTGGACTTCGAGCTGTACGGTGAACCTCCCCGTGAGGCACTGTACAATGAACGTAGTGCAAATGCTCTGCGGTTCATCACGGCGCTCTCGGCCGATCCTACTCGTCTGATCAAGTAGATTATACACACCTACTCTCATTGTCATGTCTGTTTGTCTTCCTTTCTACCGTATCGCCCTGGTGGGGATAATACACTCTACTGTAGCCCGTACATTGTACAACCCTCATTGTACTCTACGACTGTTGATCATGTATATTGCGCTTATATCTGAATATTATTCAATGCCCGCTACTCTGTGGCAGCTAGTCATAATCGTATACCAGATCAATCGGTACTTGAGCCAATGGAATACTGGCTTCTCTCGGTGACGTAGGGCGTCCAGTTGTGGCACCGGAGTTGATCTCATCACGGGCGCAGTGCGTTTCGGCGCGCTCATAAACTGCGAAACGCGTCCCGTTCTAACCCATTCACCGCTGTTCCTCGACTACGACCACGTCACTACTACGACAATCTGTTACATACCATCTGTCTTTACTGTTTAAACCTGCTTCATCATCATGACCGACTCTGACATGCACGTTATGAAGCGCTCTCGCTCTCAGGGAGAGCCTGACGGCACCCCGCCGATGAAATTCAGCTCGGCGCAGGTTCGCCGGAGAGGCCAAGTCTGGTCCAAGCATCCATACTACTACTTCCCGGACGGCTCGCTTTTGCTTCTAGTGAGTCAGGTGTAGCCCTCTCTACCTTACCGGGGCTGACTCACCGAATGTAGGTCGACGGTACCGCGTACTGTATTCAAGGGTCCGTCTTGATCGGGCATTCGCCGTACTGGAGAAACGCTCTTGGGGAACCAAAGGAGATGTACGAGCCGCAGGCCCTCAGCGGGATATCATGGCAGGAGATGGATGCCTTTCTCTCCGTCATATATCCTCGGTACGTTCAGCCAGAGCACGCACTCGCGTTAGTAGCACTCACGCTAATACCTGCAGCTCTTATGAGCAACACGAAATCACGAGCGCTGAGGACTGGGCCTCGGTTCTCCGTCTGGCTTCGCTATGGAGCGTTGACGACATGCGATCACTGGCTATCTCCCAACTCGACGCAGTTGCGGCGCCACTATACAAACTTGTGCTCGCCCGCGCTCTCGACGTGCCCCAGTGGATTGAGCCCGCATTCGACGCCCTTGCGCGCCGTCAGATGCCTCTGTCGGTCGAAGAGGCAAGCGCTCTCACTATGGAGGACGTCTTGCACATCTCGGCGAAGCGCGAGAGTATCTTGAAGGCCCAGGTCACCCGACTGCCTGCGAAGTCGAGCTCTGCGCGCGACGACACCCGGAACGATTCGCGAACCCTGGTTCGTACTCGTACCAAGAGCTCGTCTGGGTCCTCACGTACAGCTGCCCCTACTGAAAAGTCGCCTCTTCCCCCGATCACAGTACCCTTCTCTCGCAAAGAACTTGGCCGTCTTTCGACCAAGCTATCCAAGGGTTACGAGTTCGAGGATGCACTCGCATTCGTGACGCAAGAAAAAATACCAGCCTTTTGCCACGCTTTGGCGGACTTCACCGACGTTCTATCCGCTCGGGGGCTGAACCATCTTTCGTCCAGCCACAGCCTGTTCAAGCGTGTTGCGACCAGGCCGTCATTTGTCCCAGCTGCCGTCAAACTCGCATCATTCATCGTTTCGCAGAACGAGGGTGACGAGGCCCGGCAATGGTTAACCAGCAACCTCTTCGGGCTCCGTCGGTGCCTCCAAGACGACGTGAACGGCTTACGGTCGCTATGGGCGAGCGTCAATCAGGCGAAGATCAAGTATCCAGACTTTAGTGTTGCGTACAAGTCCGCTTCCCGCGGGCACTACTTCACTGCAGGACTTCTCGGATTGGACAACTATGGAACCAAGCCTCCACGGGAGAACGAGTACAAAGAGAGAAGCGCAAACGTTCGGCAGTTCATCTCAGCGCTGTCGGCAGACAATGTTCGCCTCGTCAAGTAACAAAGGCATCGATGGGCGCTCACACGATATACACGATGATATTCGGCTGCATTGTACTATACCACCTGTATCATATACCATGCTGTACATCTAGCCTGTATATACTCATGATATTCTGTCAGATTTTGTACGGAAAGTGGAGGTCAAAAATGAAGAAACAACTCGCGGTGGGGGCGTGACGAGGCGCGGCGTCACGATGTGACTCGCGCCGAAACTGGTTCAGAACACCGCCATGCGCCTTGTTCCCTAAGTCGACGGCGGTGCGCTTGTACTCATTGGCTACCCTCCTGTCGTATCCAATGAGAATTCGTCTACATTCTTCCAAGACGTACTACACGTACGGGCGGCGCATTATCGGAATCAAAACGGTGTAGCCAATTGTCCCCCGCACAAAAGCGTGTGAATATCCACTTTGCTGGGAACAATACGCGTTTAAATCCCTTCTTCTGCTTTTGTGTCTCGGGCGCTTGGATCATTCGTATATAAAGGATGGGCGCTGGAATGGCAAGGCCCTTTTGCAGTCTTTGCGCTTGTTCCCTTCACCCACTTCACGCTTTCACGCCCTTCACGCTCTGCGAGCTCTTCAACGCGCGGGACTTTGAGCCATTCATAGTTCTACTACGCCTTCACCCGTCGCAGCCCGATCTACTTCAACACTCTTGAGATGTTCACTCGCACACTCTTCATCACCGCTGCTATCTCGCTTGCCGCCATCCCGCTCGTGCGCGGCGCCGACCACCAGATCATCGTTGGCGGAGCAGGCGGCGTAGTCGCCTTCAACCCTCCGAACGTCAACGCGAGCGTTGGTGATACGGTCACATTCATCTTTCAGGTACATTACCATCTGTATCCTCAGATTCTCTCGGCGGCTAATCATAGTACAGCAAAAGAACCACACCGTCACCCAAAGTTCTTTCGCGGATCCTTGCACTCCGCTCGCTGGTGGCTTCGACTCTGGCTTGTACGTCGCTCAACTGTATCCGATTGCTCTCGACTGAACGGTCTCTAGTATTCCCGTCGGCGACGACGTAACGAGCGACTTCCAGCAGGCACAGCTAACCATTCAAGACACCAATCCTATCTGGGGCTTCTGCCAACAGGCCGGCCACTGTCAGAAGGTGCGTCACATCTCTGGCATATCTCATGCCACCAAGTATTGACTTCATTCGCAGGGTATGGTCTTCGCCGTCAACGCGAAGTCGGACGCGCAGTTCCAGCAATTCCTGGCTGCTGCCACTGGTAACACAACAACTGGCGCGTCATCCAGCGTGACGTCCGCGGCAGCCACCGCCACCTCTGCTGCCAGCGGTGGTACAACATTCACCTCTGTCTCCGTCTCCCAACAAGCCAGTGCTACCGCCTCTGCGACCTCTGCCGCCTCAAGTGCATCGTCGACGAGCACATCAACCAACGAGCACCGCATCGTGGTCGGCGACTCGACTGGTGCGACGACCTTCACACCTGCCAACATCACCGCGCAGCCTGGCGACGTCATCACGTTCGAGTTCCACGCGAAGAACCACACCGCGACGCAGAGCAGCTTCGGCGCTCCCTGTCGCCCGCTCGGAGACACGTCGCAGTCGGGTCAGGTCGGCTTCGACTCGGGCTTCATGCCTGTTGCCGGCAACGCGACTACGTTCCCCACGTTCAGCGTTCAGGTCAACGACTCGGCCCCGATCTGGGTTTTCTGCGCGCAGACTGGCCACTGTGGCAAGGGCATGGTGTTCTCCGCGAACGCTGTCGAGACTGGTAGCAACACGGTGAGCTTCAGCACCCTGGCAGCCCGTATGATCCGAGACTGATGCGCTTTATAGTTCGAAGCTTTCCAGGCTCGCGCCATGTCACAGAACGGCACAAGCAGCAGCTCCACGAGCGGCGCCGGACGCGTCTTCGCGCGCACGGTCTCGCAGGCCACGCTCCTCGCCGCACTTCTCGGCATCATCCTCGGCATCTTCTTCTAATCGAGCGCACAAGATGCGTGCGCGCCTGGCGCGCGCTCGTTCGCTCTCGTCGCTCTCTTACGCTCCGGATTTCACGTCTGCATCACGGCTGACTGCTACGACTTGCTTGCACGACATCTCACTTTTTCTGGTCCCTAGGACGTTTGTAGCCATAGTACCCGGTCGTTTCGTGATGTACATATAATTGCGTATACTCCTACGACTCACCTGTTAATACTGGATCTCCTGGCCTGAGGGTCAAATACCATGTCTTGCCTGATGCCGTTCCCCTTGATACTGTTGCCTCGTCGTCGTCCGGCGCTCCCTGTTATGCTAATGCTGTGTTCGAGCGTCTACAGAAGCTGAGGATCATTCATGATGCTTCTTCCGAGCATGGCAAACCTCGTGCGTATAGTGGCCTGAGACTGACGAGCCAAGTGAGCGCGCGAACCGTCACAACGTGACGCGGTAAGCCGGCTGGCGCGCCGGTCCGTGGTGGCTTGGTGGTGGCACGCACGCGCGCGCCTTGCTCCGTGCAACCATGCCCGTCCACAATCACAAAGAGCGCGTACCTATTCCCCCCGTCGCTGGTGAGCATATTTGCTACCGATTGCTACCCATTTTGTGTCTCCGCTCGGCATCGTGCTCAAAGAGGCTATTATCCAGGTCCCTCTCAAGCGACCCCTTCACGAGATCCTCAAAGGGACCTTCGCGAGGTTGCCACTCATGCCGATCATCTAAGGAGAATCGTATCTGAACTCCCGCCTATTATGCTCAATGGGGCCGCCCGGAAACGAGAAATACTAGATGAGATTGAGAGGTACGCCCTGGTGCTTGTTTCACGTGTGTAGCCGCTCATATTCGCGCTAGAGCATCTCATCCGGAGCCGACAGTGTCCAGGTTTCCCTTCCACTCAGATACCCTTCCGCCCTCGTACCTTCCTCGCATCATAGCTGGCATATTAGGAGGTGCTTATTCCCTCTCGTTCATTTGAGGCTGACCCCTGACAGTGTGTCTCAGGCACTGGTATCGGGAAAAGCACCCTCATATCGAGTATTCTGGGCCGTACGTCTGCGAGATATATTCTCTTGAACATTTTCCGTTCTAACTTGACTTTGCTTTAGGCACTGTCTCCCCCACGAGTGTTCTTGGAAGTACGTAACCCATCAGCTGTGCAGTACTGGACTAAATTGAGCATTGCAGGAGGGACTGCTGCTCCGACTATCATCGCGTATCACGAGCATGATTGGATCGAAGCAACACTGTCATTCCTTCCGGAGAAAGAATTCAGGACTATGATTGAGACTGCGCTGGAGTTGTTAGAGAGGGGCGAAGACGGCCGGCCGTTGACAGAAGGCGAGCTGAAGAAGGATCCATCTTATGCATTGGTACGTACCCCAACGTGTAGGTCTAACTGCTCTCGCTCACTATGATTCGCCAGGTGACCGAGGCGTTGGATCTTACCAAGAAGAAACTTGCCAGTTTCAAGAAGGGTGCGCATACTGAACGGGAAGACGGTCAGGATGGGTCCGATAGACGCGTTCAGGCCGTTTTGGATCTGTATCCAGGTAGGTTTCTATCTGTCTCAAGTGACATGTCCGTTACCGACTTGCGCAGACATTGCCAACATCCTAGGTACGACCATTACGATCCAAGAGTGTGATGATCAGGCGTTCGTGAAGGCCCTCGAGTCGCACATCGGTGCCGCTAAAGAGCATAAAGGGCCCAAGAAATGGGCTCTGCTCGCGCAGCTCCTCGTCAAATGTAACGCGGATGTCTTGAAAACCGGCCTGATCGTAATCGACTTTCCTGGCTCGGGCGACTACAGTCCAACAGTCCTTCGTATGATTGCAGAGGTCCAATCGAAGCTGGACGTCAAGCTCGTTGCTGTGCGCCCGGCGCGCGTCTCCACTGAAGCCATGGTGAATGGTAGGACCATCTCCGAGGTTCACCCGAAAACCGAAAGCTGAAATCCCACGTTCCAGAACTTATGCGCGAGGAGATTGAACGGCGCACGCTTCACAGTACGCCTCTTTGCCATCTCTCCTATGTCCGCGCAGCAACTGATATGGAGCAAAAGCCATGCAAGGACACGAAGGCGATGCGTACGTCCCTCCATATCCATGTATACTGCGCAGAACATTGACGGCGTACTCGCAGGGCTGACAAAGAAGACTTGCACAACGCCAGTTCCAGCGGACTCGCAGTCATCAGTGAGATCAATCTACTGATGTCATACACGTTTATAGTTACTGACAACATCACGCGCCGTTAGTGACACAGTGTGATGCGGAGGCAGCAGGCGAGCTAGCGGACGATGATGCCACGGCCTCCATTTTGAAGCAAGACACAGAGTATAAGAACGTTCGTCTCGAGATTGGGCAAGCACAGATTACATTGGATGAGAAGAGGACGCTTCTAGGAATGCTTCAATCTCAACAAACACGTGAGCTCATACTCCCATTTGGAAGCTCAACCAGCGGCTGATGCCCACGATGTAGGGGCCATGAAGTCCACGTCATCCGCACCCGGATCGAAACGCGTCTCCCAGTACAACCTTCGCTCGAATTCACCCCCTAAACGCCCTCGTTTATCAGGCTCGAGCGCATCAACGTCAAGCGTACGCGACGTTGCATACGAGGATGCGGACGAAGATAACCTGCGCACTATCGTCGCGAAACTGCAAGACGCAGAAGCAGAAGTCGCGCGAGAGCAGGCGCGCCTGGAGAATCTGGAATCCCAGCGCCGAGCTTTGGAATGGATCGCACGACAAAAGGTTTGTCCATCAAGGCTGTGCTCAGTCTAGCCACTGATCAATGAACGGTTATCTCAGGTGCTCGGGGCGCATGTGCGGCGACATTTCAACTCGCACATGTGCGCAGCACGCTCTGCAGCTGCCCCCGACAGCAGCGAAGATGGTACGCTACTCGATTCCCCTCATCATAGCCCCCAAGGACTCATCGAGGCGCAGAGGACATGGATGATGATGAGCGCGAGGATTTCTCTCTGCCCATCTTCACTACAAGTGCCAAGAACTTCAATTATCAATCTCCTGGCGATGAAGGTGAGAGAGACCCCCACGTAAAGGCATTCAAACCCTGATATATCGCAATTTAGATCTGAAGGGACACACCGGTATTCCCGCCCTTCGAAGCTTCCTCCTGTATCAAGGCGCTCGCGCTGAAGACCAGGCCGTCCTTGATCTCCTTCGACAGTTCCGTGATGAAGTCAAATCGACGCACACACTCCTAACCGCCAAAGATCGTGAGACGGTGGGAGAGAAGGTTGCTCGTGAGAAGCTCGCTCTCCAGCAGCGATGGGCTAGTGTCGAAGCCGGTGCCGACGCTCGAGGCGTCGCGGGGACATCTGCCAATGCCGCGACGTCGGGTTCAGGCATACGCGATAGTCTGAACGCCGTATGTGCCCCGCCGATATATATCACAGCTTGGATCTCGCTGACTTTACGCGTCAACAGATATTCGCCGCCACGGTTGAAGCCAAGATTGAGGAGGCACGCGCCGGCCTCGAAATACTCAAAGAGACTTGCGAAGCAGGGGCAACTGTTGTGCGTACCCTACTTTGGCCGATACACCCGCACGCTTCTGATGCATTTCTCAGGCTGCTCAGAACGCGAAGGCAACAGCGCAATCTTTGGTCGAAGAGAAGATCCATTGGGGCAAACATCGTGCAGGTACGAGAGAGTGCATTGTGTATCTGGAGCTTCTCCTCACTCTGTTCGTGTGTTTAGTTCTCAAGAACCACGGCACGTACAAGGACGTCAAGGACTACAACGTCGAGTTGACGACGCCGTTCATCGCGGCTGTCGAGGAAGCCATCGACAAATACCGGCAGCATGGCATCGTCTTCGGGCTTCCCAACAAGATCAAAGAGCAGGCCAACGCGTTCTTCGACGAGGTACACGATTCCGTGGATAAGTGCGACAAGTCTCTGAAGGAGGAAGTGTACCTTCGCATTCACACCTGTCGTGAGGATCGCTTGTGCAGGGGCCTGTCGCGCATCAAGAAGGCGGGAAAGGAGTTGTTGAAGGAGAAGCGGGGTCTCTCGGAGTCCACCTTCTTTAGCGACGCGGTCAAAGGTCTACTGGGAGAAACCTATACGGAATCTGTTAAGCAGCATAAAGGGCGCAACAGTATCGCCAAGATGAAGGTCAGCCGTCTTTGTTTTCCACCTTCCATCTCTAATCTCTTTATCTTCGCAGACGCACTTCGTAGATGCTGTCGGCGTAGCGGCAGACGCACTGTTCCGCGACATGGTGCAAGACTTCCTGAAGCGTCAACGCGAGCTCATTGACGATGTTGAGACCCTCGTCAAGAAAGAGTTGAAGCGCGTTGCCCGGAAGGTGAGCTATCTACTGCGTGGTTCCTCCATACTCGATGTCTGAGCGTGCATCCCTAGTGCGAGATAGAGATCTCGAATGCCTGGGTAGTCCCGGATAACGACAAGGCACAACTTGATGCGCGCGCCGATGCTGCCAAAGCAGTTCATAACATTGAACAGCGCCTCGCTGCTCTAGAGACTGAACTAGTGGAACGGATGAAGCAGGCCGAGAAGGCAGTCCCGACTTGTCATCCTCTTTGCAACGTGCCAAAGGATGCGACCTCTTGATCATGATGTTAGTTATGTGCCGGCGCTTGATGCGCCTAGTGACTGGTTTGGTTGTACATGCATACACATTGGTACGATACTCTACGCTTGCGTCATGTTTATGTTGTCTGTATTTGTAGCGACTGCTGTTTTTGGTCTTTCCGAGTCTCGAATGTAATGGTGTTTACGATGTACTTCCTCCCCCACTCTGCTATGCTTGAGATGTACGAAACCCCTGTTGTCACCAATTCATGTACTGTACCAGACGATTTCCAGGTGTGACGCTTCCCCATACCCATCGCAACCGTGTGCACACGCGAGCTCTTCGGGCATGCTTCGGACATCTCGCCATTATTTTGAATCACGAAAAACAAGTTGAAAGCGATGATTGATGCGATTAGAGGGTATCATGATGTGTAGATTATCTAATAGAGCCCACAGAAAACAAGCCAAAGCCCATACAACAACAAGTTACACGACCAATTCCGATTTTTCAGGCGCAAATCCTCAGCACCGCCGCTCAGAAGCAGCCTCCATCATTGACCCACTCGGCCATCCACTCATCCCCTCTAATCTCCTCCAACGGCGGGAAAGCGAACCCTTCCTCCAAGGGCTTCTGAGGTTGCCCAAGCGCGCCCCAAACGCTCACTTGCGACTCGGGCGACCAAGACGACAGGATGTCGATGGACGGAGGCGCGGATGTCGGCTGCGATGCGACCGGCGCGACGTATGGTTGTTGAGCAGCCGGTGCGACGTACTGCTGAGGCTCGACCGGCGCAAAGTAGGGCTCTGGCGCGACTGGCGCGATGTATGGCTGAGGTGCGACTGGCGCGAAGTAGGGCTCTGGTGCGGCCGGAGCGACCCACGGCTGTGGTGCGACAGGCGCAACGTACGGCTGCGGTGCGGCCGGCGCGAAGAACCGCTCTGGTGCGACCGGGGCCACATACGCCTTCGGCGTGACTGGCACATCGAGGTACCGTTGCTGGTTCGAGTTGAAAAGGGCATCGGGCCAGCCTGCTGCGTTCCAGTCCACGTCCATCGCGCCCATCTGCGGCTCGAACGCCACTTCATCAACCTTCGGCACTTCAACCTCAGGGAAAGCGCCGTGCTCCTGCTCGTCGAGCGGCGTAAGCGGCGACCCCGGCGCCGGCGTCGAGTCCTCCGAAGTCGAAGTCGACGCCCCTGCCGACGCCGACACCCAACTGAAGTGGAACGACTCAGCCTCCCTTGCCCGCGCCGCCCTCCGCTCCTCCTTCCACATCTCCCTCTCCTCCTTCTCCCTCCTCGCCCGCTCCTTCCGCGCGCCCTTCCGCGCGCCCGGCTCATACCGGTACCCCGGCCACCTTCTCTTATGACTCTCCTGCGCCTCTTGCACGAGCCGCGCGAACGCCCTGTACGCCGCGTCGTCCTTGTCCCTGCAAAACTCGCGCCACGCCTCGCTGCACACTTTTGAAAACGTGCACTGGCGCTCGCGCTCCTGTTTGAGCTTGCGGGTGCTGTGTAGCTCGGCGGCGACGAAGCAGGACTTGATCGCGCGTGTTACGGAAGGGTGCGCGGCGAGGAACTCGGGCGCGTTGATCTGCTTGGCAGAGTCGCGGTCGGTGTGGTTGGAGCGCTTTTTGTTGTTTTTGGTGGTGGTGGTGGTGTTGTTTGGGGAGGGGAGGGTGCGCACGTAGTGCGCGAGGGTGCGGAACGCGAAGAAGGCGTTCATCGGGCGCGGGGGGACTTCGACGACGTCGGACATTGCTGCTGTTGTCGCTGGCCGATAAAAGCGGGGTTGCGGTCGGGTTGATTGTGTTGAATAGGCTTGGGTGAGCGGATGGAGCTGAGGCTTCTGGACGGCGCATGCTGGCGTTTTTATAGCCCGGGTACTGTGGACTCTGACCGTGCTTGGACCGTATGTCGTGGGCGCGGTGGTTTGGTGGCACGGCGTTGCATTGTTCAAGGCGCATCACGGAAGCAGAATGTTGGACCGGGGGATGTGGTCTAGGTGGATTAGAGGGCGATGGTGTTCAACGCTCCGCTTGGTGAATCTTCGTATCGGTAGATGTCTCCGGCATATCTTCGTTAGAGTAGACACGGTTTAACATAGCCATCCTTTTTCCGAAGGGAGACTGCTTGAGAACAGAGCCGTCTACCAGGCCATTGAAGCAGGCCGTTCGCCAGGGCAGCGTCATCGTCCGGCTTGACCAGACCACGCAGCCCACAACCGAACCATCTGCGCATCTCCAAAAGTCCGGGGACAAAACACCACAGGTGCAGAGGACAAAGTAAGGAGGGCTCGTGGACTGTGGTCAATGACGATGCGAGGGCACAAGTGGCGGACAGAGCAGCGCGGGGGATCGGCAACGCCCGGTTGGCGTCTGGTTGTAGACGCGCTAGCGCGTACAAGCGAGAATATAATCCAACAGTAGGAAGAAACTGGGTGCCATAATGTACTGGCTGGAGTAGCGGAGAGCCATGGTCAAAGCCTGGGACGAGGTCGCTGCTCGCAAGCGGCGGGCGCGCCAAACGGCAATGCCCGAACCGGGCCAAGCCGGCCCGTCAAGCCGCTCGCGTGGTCAACGTTCGATCAGAACTTTCCACGCCTTCTCAGTTTCGCGCGCAGGTGCAACTTTCGTTCCTCTCATCCTCCCCTCACTCTCACTCTCACCTCCCTCCAGCACCGGCCAACAACACCTTAGATAGAGCTACCTGTGAGTATCTATGTCTGTATGTGAACTGTAAAGATGAAACGCACTGGGCTCTGAGTCTACGACTCTGATGTTATGCACTACGCCTTACGAGGCGGCGGCCTAGAAAACCGTTAACTGATTCTCCTCCCCTCGTACTCCTCTACTCTCTACGATAATTTTACTGACATATCACCTCTCCTTTAGTTACAGCTCCTCTCCAAGATGAACGACGCATCAAGAGATGAGTTTGTGGGGGTGATGGACGAGATGACCCGAAGCATGTCTTCAGCCCGAGAACTCTTATCCTCCTTACGACAAAAGTGTGTAGAAATACAATACGATACAACCATACCATATTCTGAACCTCTGCATCAATCAGAAAAGACACGTCCGAGATGGACTTCACAGCCGGCATATCCCTCCTCTCGCTCAAACACGAGCTAATGCTCGGCTACATCCACACCCTCGCCCTCCTCACCGCCCACCGCGCTCTGAACCACTCGCTCGCTCCCTCCGACGACACTGTGCCGGCCTTACCTGGATTTGCGAGCGCAGAGAGGGACGAGCGAGGGAGCGAGCCGGCCGATCTCGTCGGCGCGCTCGTCGAGCGGAGGCTGGTGCTCGAAAAAGCCAAAGTCCTCGAAGGACGCATGCGATACCAGATCGAGAAGCTCGTCCGGCTATCCGAGGAAGACGCAGGCGGCGCATCAGCGCTGAACGGTATGCTACATCTCCCTCCTCTCCAATTTACATGTGAAGTTTGACGCGCGCCTATCAGATCCCCTCGCCTTCCGCCCGAACCCGTCCGCGCTCGCGGGCGCTTCGTCCGAAGAGGACTCAGAAGAAGAAGATTCGGCCGACGAGCGCAAGACGTCCGGCGTCTACCGCCCGCCCAAGTTAGCGCCCATGCCCTACACCGACGCGCCGCGCGGCAAAGAAGCCAAAGCTGCCGCCAAGCGCCGGCCCATCCCGTCCACACTCGCCGCGCTCGCGCACCTCGATCCCTCAGCGCCGCATATTGAGTCTACATCAGGCCTGGGCGCCGCGCCGCAGCATGCGTCCGCGAGGGCACGGGAGCTGGCGCGCATGACGGAGTACGAGGAGGAGAATTTCACGCGGCTCGTTATGAAGAAGTCTGCGGCGAAGAGGAGGGTGCGGGACGAGGAGGATATCGCGCTCGGCGGATCTGGGTTGGGTGAAAGGGTTGCGGGGCGGAGAGGGCGGGGAGGGGGGCTGGAGGATGAGTTTGCGGATGTGTTTAGGGG